GTACTTTGATTATCTAGATGCACATATTAGTAAGCATCTTTACTTAGAAAAAATAAAAGTACTCTCTAAAGATGTTAAATATTTCTGGTTTGCAACATTGTTGGTTCAAATTCACAAGTAGCTCCTCGGAAACCCTATACAGCAACAACAATACAAGTTTAGAAATAAAAACAAGACAATATAACTAAGGCAGCCTTGCTCATTTCTCTCCCCAGCCCCTGAAGTGCTTCAAGGGAATAAATACTCAGGAAGGTACATTAAAATATGGAGTCTCCTTGTAGTTCATATGGTTGTTGCTGTTGAGTTGGTTCTTTACTCATATTGATCCTGCATAGGGTTTCCGAGGAACAACTGGTGAGTTTGACATGCCAACTTTGTGGTTAGCAATCCTGTGCTTAGCCTACAGCGCCACACCAAGGCTCATGGTGACCGAATATTCTAGGTGCTTAATTTATTATCAGAGTGACTTAAGTTCTGGGAAAACTCTGGGTCACTAAATTAAAAGAAAGGTTCTATCAATGCATTTTAAAAGGTATACTGTAAAAATGACTCTGTGTAAATAGTATATGAATATTAATTATGCCAAGGATATCAGGATATTCCTCTTATAATAACTAGTAAGATATTATTGATGCATTTCTCTGATTAAGCTGATGCCAACACACTCTGCTTCTATATGCCTAGCCCTAAAGGGGGTGCCCAAGTGGAAAAAGCTAGAGAATGCCGTTCTTTATCAACTCTTCTCATGTAGACAAGTTGCATTCCTATGTCTTCGCCTTCCTTACCAAATACTTCTGGTGCTTTATGAAAATGTATGTTCATGATATAATACTAAATTTTTAATCCAGAAGTTTGACTACATTAAATTTAAAACAAATATGACAAATAATACAAACATGTCACAGAACACAAGACATCCTAACTTATTGTCAAGTGAACTTTGGCCTTTTAATAACCCGAAGAGAAAATCCTTCCTAGAGTTAAATAAAAATATTTAAGATCCAGAATCAACAGTTTTCATAGAACTAATAGCTGTGAAGCAGAAGCAATTACACATAAACACGTACACATTTAGAATAGTAATGCCTCTATATAAGTACAAAAGTCAACTTTCTCTTCATAATACTTTAAGGCTAATAGAATACTGAAGATAACCACCAGAATATAAATAGTCATCAGTTAAATTTTAATTACTGTTCAATAATTTATTCCTTAAAAGACAATACATTCTGATAAGTTCTGGCCACAGGGACTTTTTTTTAACTGCAAAAGCATTTCTCTTCGGGTTCACGGTGCCACAAACAGTACCTAGTACTGTTCCTCATTTGTGGCAACACCGGTGATTGCATTCAAATGGCATTTAACATACATTGTGCCAAACTGCCCTATAATTCCATTTTGGACTGAATTAATTAACTTCTCGGTAGGTGGCTGAGGTCCTGAAGAAATACTTGACTGCTTAACCTACCTTCCATGAGTTGTCTCTAAATCACAGCAACTTCCATTTTTAATAAATAATACCAGGTAAAATACATTTAGTAGAACCCTAAAGGGTAAAGATAAGGCATTTATAATAAATGGATTTTGTTGTCCACATACATTCACATCCATTTAAAAGAGGTCATGGGGCCCTGCAGACAGCTAAGGAGGATTTAACAATACTCAGCAAGAGTTGGCATGCCTGATATTTTTGAAAGACTTTTTACCTTAGGAGGTTTATACTAACAAAATGCCTTCTTCGTCCTTGCAAGATGTCTAAACAAAAGGCTTAGCACTTTGTAATAATTAAAATCAGACTATCACTATACCGCTCTAAGTAATTTATATCCCAATGCTTGGAATGAAAATGTAATTGTCTATAGCATTATCTTCAGATCATCAGAATTACAATATCACGAAATATCTATTGTTTCTATCATGCTTCTCCAATTAAAATACGATTATTAAGCTCTGACTGCTAACTCTTGGTTTTAAGTTTATAGTCTTCATATATCATGAAACAAATTAAAAGGGCAAACACAGAATGTGAAAAGCCAGCTCACAAAAAGCTGTAACATCTTTTATTACATGAATTATTTTTCTCTATCGTAAACTTCCAGTTTAGAAAAAGAGAAAATAGTTCTTTTCACCAACTCCTTATATCAAA